AATCCGTTCGAAATCTCAGATAGGTTATTGCCTATTAACAATTATAAACCTAAATGAAAACATTTAGTTGTATCAAATCGGTAGTCCGATTGGTTAACGTGCATTCCTGGAGAGGTGTGAACATTTCTGCGTTCGGGACGAATACTTCTGAACATTTCGCGTTATTATATAACAAGACAATTTAAGACTACATATAGCGCCAAAGGTATTTGAAATTATTACGATTATTATTATAATTATATCCAAAGTTTTCTAAACAAGTATTACAAGAAGTTGTCTACACCTAATGCAGACGCAAGTGATAAAATTACAAAGGTGGTAATGAAACATGTGGCAAATAAGGGTGGAAAACAACGCCGTAAATAGTGTAAGTACGTTGTCAGTGTCCACAGCTAAGTCATGAAATTATATAACGTGCTTCGTCATTGTACAAAGTAATTTACTTACACGAGTATGACAAAAAGGTCAACACAAAAATACATTGAAAAATAAATTATAAAATATTTTATTAATTTTAAAAACTAATTAGATTGAACTTTTACATGTGAACATTGATTTAGTAAAACAAAACGTAGCTCGGGATTTACGAATTTTAAAAAATTAAATTATCAATTTTAATTGCAATCAAAGTAACATGATTTGCTCTTCTATATTACCATATTTTTTATTAATCTTTCTTTAAATTATTTTCTTAAAAAAATACGAAACAAAAAAAATGTATTCAAAAAGCATAGGGAAAAGAAACTTAACTATTATAAACTTACAAAAAATGTTATTAATATATTCTTATTTTATAATTATATTTATTTTTATTATTATTACCTATTTTTATTATGTTTTAGTAAATATTAAAAATATTAAAAAAAAAATGAATTTTTTACTTCATAAAGATTTGGCCACATTGCAGTGGCAATATACCGTAAAGAATTTTTAAAAAAAATTTACCAGCTAATACATAGAAATTTAAATATGTCAAATTAGAAATATTGAATTAAATTACGGGGTGGTCATCGTTTCCGCCAAAAAACTTGATTTTCGTTTCCGCCAAAACGAAAAGGTTCGATTTTCGTTTCCGCCAAATCTATTCCTACTTATATTATTGCGATAGCGTTTGAGAACCCCTTGTTTATCTGCAGTTCTATCGATTATCGATAAATATCGAGATTCAGGATAAGCCATTATTTTATATTATAAGAGATAATTGATTTTACGTTCAATAATTTCCACGCATTATAAATAAATATAAATCGAACTATATACAGTCAAGTCGCGATTACTCGAAGTTGAAGGGGGTAAAAATTCACTTAGAGATATGTATTATTCGAGATATCTAACTAATTTATAGTGGAAGAATTTTCTAGAGGAATAAAACACAATTCTAATTGTCAAGTTTTTCAAGTTATCGCGACTCGACTGTAATATTATAAGTTATAACTAAAGACCGGATATAATTGCATTAAAAATATCTTAATATTGCACTAAAAAGAAGCCAAAATTGCAGTATAAATATGTTAAAATTTCAATGAAATACATTAAAATTACATAGTAAAATCATATCAAATATATAATCATTAATTACTTACTTAAATAATATTATGGACATCAATATAATATTTACAAAGTATATCATATTTTGAATAAAAATTTATAATTAAATACATCTCTAAATTGTGTTCTTGAAAATTGTATCGTCTGTTACTTAAAATATGTTTGTATAATGAAAAAATACGTTTTACGTCGACACTTGTTATCGATGCATATTTAAAATAGTTTAAAAAATTGGGTGATGTATCTAAATAAACATTTTGATTACCTGTCATAATCTTAAGAGTAAGTTTTAATAGTTTTATACCCTTCATTTTTTTCTAAGACATATTTTAATTTATCTTTAACTATTTTTCCATTGGGACCGGGAATATTTATAGAAATATTTATACTAAATATTTTTATTTAGCTAGTATTTGTTTAGTATTTATTTATTTAGTATTTATACTAAATATGTTTACACTATTAAGTAATTGACTATTTGATTCATCTAAACTTGTGAGTTTTGTGGATGACTCAGATAAATATAATTTTAAAAACTACATTTAACTACTTGTAAAAATTTACGTCGAAGTTATATTTTTTATGTAAAATCACTTTGGAAATAATAATTTGTATATTTTATCACGTGAAGTATACAAAAATTGCAATAATTGCAAAAAATTGCATTATTAAATTAAATAGGAAGACTGTAATTAATCTGATTCGAATACATATTTTATCAGATTTGATTTACTGGGTATCAATAAAAAATTGCAATATCAATTAAATCCGCTCTTTAGTTATAACCTATATCATGCGTAGTGTCTGTGTTATCGGGATTGGAATTCTGTGATCGAATGTGTCAATACTGTGACAACATAGCAATGTGAATCGTGAATATTATCCACTGAATAATATACGTATTTATTGAATATAATAGAATTTATATTTATATATATTATAAATTATTCTGTAATATTCTGTAATAATTCTGTAATGATTATTCTGTAATATAAAAAAAACGATTAATAAATACAACAAACGCAATAAAAGAATATATAAAAATAAAAAATTTCAAGAATGACGTTTTTAAAATAAGTATGAAACAATTATTTGAAATAATAAATAATTAATAGAATTATAAAAAATATTTGACTTTATATATATACAAATTTAATTATAAAATTCAATTTAAGTTCAAAAATATGAATCCGAAAATGAAGTTAAACAATTTTTTAAGGGCCAATAAGAACCGCCTCTTCATGGTGGCCCTTGGGTAACTCTAAATGGTTCTCAAACTATAATTTAGACAGTTGTGTAGAAATAAATTTGGTGGAAACGAAAATCAAGTTTTTTGGCGGAAACGACTGAAGCCCAAATTACGTACCAATGATTTCGTTTAGTAACTTTGAATTTTAAAAAAATGTCCTAGCCACATTCAATTTATTTTATTTTTTACGGTTTAATATAAATGATGATTGAAAACTGACTAAGTTCAATTATTCACTGAACTTAACTATTTTTTCGGAATCGAACAATCCAATGCTCCACTTTTTGGATTTATTATCAACCATCCATGCTCGTAATATTTGGTCTACATCCTGATTAGAACTCTCAATACTTTACTGATATTGAGGGTGTCTAGGATGACCATGCACGATAATATATTTTGGTCAAAGGACTTAAAGTTCTTTGATTGCAGGATTTAGAAAATCGCAACCAATGTCACTCTGTAACATTTTTTGATATATCAACAACATGGATAATAATTCATTGGCAAATTCAGTTACTCTTTTACTCTCTAATAGTCATAGAATTATAATATTGTACAGTTATAAATTTATGTTAATTTATATTTATATATATATATATATATATATATATATATATATGTATATTAATGTAATTTATAAAATATAATTTACTAACTATTATTATATTTTTGTTCATAAGACAGTATAGAAAAGTATAGTTTACAATGATATTATATAATTTATTGCTAAATAACATAAAAAATTTTGTATAAAATCAAACAACAGCGCCATCTAGTATTTTATTCATTTAACATATGTATTTATGTGGTCATAGCTGCTAATCACCGCCAAAAAAATAATAAAAATACTTATATAAGTGGTTTGTTTTACTAACCACTGCCCCTTAAGTGTCATGAAGTATGTGGTTAGTTAGCTAACCACCGCCCCTCAAAGAATTAACTTTATATACATTTAATGATGAATTTTTAATTTGAAACTGATCGTACTTTACAGATATAATAATTCTTCAGACTAAGCTTTTATTGATTTATTTATTTCTATTTAAAAACTATTTATTTATTTATACATTAATGTACAAGACTTAACCAATTAATAATTTTTAATTTTAATTTTATATTTTATTATTTTAATAAAAAAATATATTTTTTTCATATCTTATTATGATTTTTAATTAATATTATCATGTTATCTGGGCTATTTTAAATGATTATTTCGGTCTGTAATTATAAACAATATACATTAACATTAAATATTCTTTTAGTACTCTTTTTTTTATACATATATAACTATAAATTTCAGTTAAAAATAATGTTAATTTATAGTATTACTAATGTTATTTGTATTAAATGTTCTTATGATGTTATTATTTTTATTACAAAATACATAAATATATACAAATTTATATCAATGAAGCTGTAATATAAAATATCTATACAAAAAAAAAAAAAATACTAAATATAATTACTGTATGAAAAATATATTTATATATTAGGGCTACATCTGTGTGTAAGTGTTTTATAACTTAAGGTGGTTATATTTATTTTAAAATCATAAACTATTTTAATATTGTTTTTATCAGAATATTTTACTATATCCTTATTACAAAATTGTTTTCTTGTCAAAAATATAATAAAACTGAATATTTTTCTGAACTAACCAACTTAATTTTTCATATTTTTTAATCCAAACATGATAATATAAATAAAATCAGTTGATTTTATTGAAAATATTAATTTGGATAAAGAAAAATGATATATTTTTACTTAAATTTATTAATTACCTAAATTTAAATCCTATTCATATTGTCATATGAAATAATTTTACCTAAAAATAGATTTATTAATAATCAAATATCTACCTCTTAAAATTATTATTTCATTATATTTGAGAATATTTTACTCTAGAAATTATATTTTATTTTATTTTTTATCTCATATTCTTGTAAACAACTTTACAACAAAGTACACAGAATTATGATTTTTATATGAATAATATATATTTTATATTACTGTTGATATAAATATTACAATATTTATATAATTCATATTATTTTATACATGATAAAAAAATATCCCAGTGACAATTAATCATAGTATTATAATAATATATTTTTTTTAAATTCTCGTATTTCAATTAAAATTCTTATATAATTAAAAATATTATTGTTAGACTTAAAACAAAATGTAACACATCTTTTCTATTTGATATTTATATTAGTATACAATAAAAATTATTATTTAAAGAAAATACCTTCATCTTAATTTTTTAATTCTGTTTGTTGTTCATCATCAATCAATGCATGTCCCTTTTCTTGCATCCATTCATCTTGAACAAACTTAGACATATAGTTGCGTATACCATCAGGCAATATAACTACTAATCTTTGACCTTTTTTCATAGTCTTGGCTACCTGTAGAGCAACGTACATTGCTGAACCACTACTTCCGCCTACATAATATTGTCACAAATTAATATAAGTATAAGTACAGTAAATATTATTTTATTTTGATAAAGTATTACCACACAATAAGCCTTCTTCACGTGCCAACCTTCTGGCCATGGGAAATGCTTGTTTGTCATCAGTCTTGAACCATACATCAACAACAGATCTATCTGTAATGACATTTTTATAAATCAAAACTTAATTAGATTTAAAATAAATTTAGGCTTACTTAATACTTACCTAATACTGTTGGTACAAAATCATAACCAATACCTTCAACATCATATATCTCTATATCTGTTTTATTAAGATTTTCAGGCAATGCCAAAATACTACCATATGGATCAGCTGCTATTATGCGACAACTGTCTCCGAGTTCTTGCTTCAATTTCCTACCAATACCCGTAATAGTACCACCTGTACCAGTACCAGCAACCACAGCATCAATTTTATAGTTAGTTTGTTCTAATAGTTCTTGTCCAGTTGCATCAAAATGTGCCAATGGATTATTTTTATTACGATACTGAAACAAAAAATATTTACATAAGTCATTCTAGAGCATACTTATAAAATGGTTTACCTGATCGAGGATTATTGTATTTGCAGGATCCTCCATATGTAATTTATGAGCTACACGTATTAAACCAGTCAAATCATCAAATGCTGCTGTTGTAGGTGTACGTATAATTTTTGCACCCAACAATCGTAATGCATCTACTTTTTCACGAGACATTTTCATTGGCATCACTACTACACATTTATATCCTTTAACTGCAGCTGCCATGGCCAAACCAATGCCTATGATAAAATAACAGTACATGTATTTATAAGTATAATAGAGGTATAAATTGTATACATACCAGTGTTTCCCGATGAAGGTTCAATTATTGTTATTCCAGGTTTTAACAAGCCCTCTTTTTCAGCGTCTTCAACCATTTTCCACCCGATTCTGTCTTTAGTACTACCACCCGGATTTAAAAATTCACATTTGGCTACTAAACTCAAAAACAAATATAAATACATACTACAAATACATAATTATGTATGTATTAAGTATAAATGAGCTTACAAATCTCGCATTCAATGCCCTCTGATAATGGTATTTTATTTAACCTGACTAAAGGTGTGTGTCCAATAGCATGCAGTATATTTGGTAAGATTTCACCTTTTTTGTTCCTGTGAATTAAAAAAACTTCATATTGGTATAATCATTAATTTTAAATGAATGCATGAAATTACGTATTATCAAAGTGCGAGTGAGGTGATTCTTTCACAGTTGAATTTTTATTCCATGTACACCGGCTTTCGCGATCAGGTCTGAATTCGGCAAAATATGCATCTGCAACGGAATTCTTCCAATCGTCTTCTTTTACTGGTTCATCAATCTTAGCTTTTTTCGCCACTACTTCAACTAGGTCCGCCATCCTGTTCAAAATACTATAAACAAAATTATAATAATATGACGTTTAATTAGTGCACTTGTCACAGTTTATATTGATAATTATATATATTCATTAATCATGTCATTAAATTAATAAACCAATTACTCGTTTAATAGTGTTGACACTTGACTACGATAACTATTAAATTAATGTGTAATAAGGAATAAAAATGTGACTCTGGCCGGCGTCCACGCTACAACAGGCAATAAAGATTAGATAACCTCACAACGAGTGCCGACCGCGATAGGCAACAAGTCAACAACAATATTGATAATATGATTAGGTTTTCTTACATTCGTGACGTTTTGTTATTTTGTATACAGAATGAACGAATGAAATATAAATTAAAATTTCTGGTATAAGATTATTTAAAAATTTGGTATTTCTACAATATTATCACATTGCGTCAATCTGAATACTTATAGAATAATATTATCCATCGATGTACAATATACGTATTATAAAATGTATTTAAATCGAAAATTAATTTTTATTTTATTGTAATTGCGAAAAAAAGTACACAATATTTTCCAATTTTTATTATCGTGGTTCTATCATATGCTTTTACAGTACGTCCAAACCGATAACATTTTTATTCAAACTAATACTAAATTATTTTTTTGTCAAAATTTAGACGAAAGAAAAATAAGGAAGTATATAAGTACATTTCAACTGAAACACACATAAAGGTTTTTTTAATAAAGAGTCCAGTATCGGTCGGAGATCACCATACTACAAGACATATAACATTTTATAAAAATAATCGGCAAAACTATGTTTTTAAAGATGAGTGATTACTTTGCGAAACTTAATTTTTTTTATACATATATATATATAGGATATTAAGGTATAGGTATTTATACCATATATTCCTACTATAACTTCATAATTGAATGATTCATATTTATACGCGTACGTTTCTATTGTAATAACAAATTTTTATTTTTCGTTTTAAGATCTGTAATGCATTTTAATTCAAATGAATACCTACAATATTGAACTATTCATATAATGATTTAATTAAATGTGACAATAAGCAAATAAAAAATGTAGACTATGGACTTAGTATTACTTAGTATTGACAACATACCAACTATGTTTATTGAAGATATGTCTATTTAATCTGATCCACAGTGTACAAGCGCACGTGCCTGAATGTACTGTAACTACAGTTATCGGTTACAAATGAGAATATATATAAAAAAAAAAAAGAAATAATATAATATACACAGATATTATTAACGTTTATCAATAGAAACTTCAATCACGCCACTCAAATGAATAATGTATTTATAAATTGCTTAATATAAATATATATTATATAATATAACATGTTATATAAATATAATAGACCTATGTATATGTATATATTATGACCTAACCTATGTATATGTATATATTATGTGATGATTTAAATCAAAAAATTGTATAATTTATAATTGTTAAGTGTACATCGAATTTAATAATTATTGTTTGTTGAAAATGAAATACACCCAAAATTAAATAAATATTCGAAAAAAAATGAATTTTAATCTCAAGAACCCTCTTTCACGGAAGTCTAGGGCATATTCATGAATAAGTATATAATAAAGTTGAATAATAGGTTAAGCCTTTAATGGTGTCTTGCATTTGCACCATTTCAGTGCCTGCGCAAAATGTTTACCAGCATTTTCACATTTTTCATACATAAATTATAATTTTAATAATACAGTTTTTATTCGCATGATAATATTTTTCGGTATGCACCACATCTAGACTTTTTTTTGCATAAAACAGTTTTGCATTTCAATAAATGTAAAACAAATAGATTTAACGGTATAATTACCTGTTTATTAAGATTAACTTAGTAATTTTGATATCTAGTAATACATTTTTTTAAAATTTTTTGTAATTTCAATGGTATTTATAGAACTATTATGTGGTTAAATGAATAGTATCAATATTTTAATCATTTTTTTTTTTTTTTTTTAATATCTCATATTTTTACTTCGCCATTTTAATACATGTATTAGACGAGTACGAGAAACAAATTGTTGTTTAATGTTTTAAATTTAATTATATATCGGCATCTACATTTTTTATAGGTACAATAAATGAATAAAGATTAACTTGTACATTTTTTTAATTTTGATACCGAATTTCTGAAAAAAATTTTAATGAATAATACTTCTTAGATTTAAACTTTTTAGAGCATATATATTTATATTATACATCCATTATAAATAATATTGAACTTAAACTGAGTAGTTTTATACCCAGGGATGTTCCTGAGAGAAGGTTTTCTATTTAGTAGGTACTATAAAATAATTATTATCAAAATCATTATCTTGTGAATAAATACATATCTATGAAATACGTACCTAGTATTAAAAATATTGACCCTCCGCTGAAAAAATGTTTAAACTTTCTACAACCACTCACAATATTAAAATGTATTAAGAACTCCGCTCGATTAAATTTACTTTTATTAATTGTTGTAAACAAATATTCTGCAATAAACTTAGATGATTAATTAATTAATAGATGATTTAATTTAATTAATATAGTAATTTAGTATTCATTGTTTAGAAGAATATCATTTTACATTTTTCAATACTAAATTTTTTTTTTTTTTTTATCAACTTAAATTAACATAATTTTTCTTTTTTTTTTTTTTGTTAATTTGTTTATTCTTAAAATGTCACTAAACATAGCATAAAGGTAAGTTATCACGAATTTAATATTCAATTAAAGGAGAACAACAGAATAAATGTTCAACCACAGATGTGTTTCGTGTACTTATTTAATGTTTATAATTAATTATATTAATATTTAAAGCGAAATTTATTTGAATTTTACGATAGACTTACATGAATTTCATAAATTTATTTATAGGAGTGAATTTCTATAACGTTACAATATATATATATAAATATGTATAAAAAATATAAATTCTTATAAAAACTATTGAAGAATAATGATGTATAAAATAATTAAAATCGACCAATGAGCGATAGGTCAATCCAAGTACATAAATCATAGACTCGCAGTACGAAAAAAATATACTAAGACTTAATATATTTGATATATTCATTATATATTTTTTTTCTCATCCCGCAATTTTTTTTCTTTTTAAGTTTTTTGAAAGGTTAGGATAATAAAATAGAAATTATAATATCAAATTATAGTTTATGTTTAATCATAATAATTAAATACCATAATTGTACACCGAAGCTAAAAAAAAAAGTGTTTTTGAAATTGTAACTTTAATCTTTCTCATTTTATCCGTGTCTTTCACAAGTTCTAAAATTGTGTGAACAGCAACGGACTTTTTGCCGTGAAACGTGCAATACGAAATTTGAAAGTTCGCAATAAAATCTTATACTCGATCACGAAAATTGTTACCTACTTATTACATAGACAAATATCGTAGAATCGGAACCTAGACCAAATACAAAAAAAAAAAAAAAATAACAATAATAATACGTAGTTTCTGTGGTGCATGTTAACCAATTTTCAGAAAGCTCGTCTTTGTTTCAACGATTAAGATACGGTTGACATTAGCTCTTTCGTACTATTAACTCGAACTCTACGTCTGAGCCCAGCTGTACGTTTTTGACCGTGCGACATGCAACTTCTGGCTGCTTTTTCCGTTTTTTCGTTTCATCAACGATATCATACCGAACATCCGGTATTCCGACCAGTCGCGCATACAAAAATATACTTGAGGGTTTTCAGTTTTAAATGTTCATACTTGTTATAGTCTACATGCCACTTTTACTCTATGAAAACATATTTAATAATTTTCCTGAATTTCAAAGGGTTAAATCCTTGATCCCGTCCCCCTTTGCGTACGCGTCCGACTACAACGGTTACGCGTAGGCAGCGGACACACTGGTCAATCGTTTACACAACATAACAACCGCAAACGATCACGGATTAGAGAACGCGTTTACGAACGTACGTGAAAACTTCATCGTCCGTTCGTTTTCAGCGCACGTGCGCGGTACGCTCAAGTGAAACCGATTACAAAATAATGTTTTAGCTGATCCACCGTCTACATTACATAATTATACCTATTTTATTGCCGTTCCTAGGGTCAGATGACGTCGAGAGTAGTAACGTCGTCCGGCATCGAGATTGACAATTATTGTAAATTTCGATTCCGGACGGTCACGTACGTTTGCAAACGGGTATCGATTTGAGAAGTAGTAAACATCGATGTCTATCACTGACCATTGTGTTCTGCTTATCATTTATCTCGTTGTACTAATGTGGTCGATAATCTTATGAAAATGAGAAATTGATAAGGACAATTTGATATTCTAATATGAAGTACCTACGCAATATTACATTGTCTGCTACTAGTGTTTATTATTAAATTTCTTATTTCAAACAGCAGTAGTGGAATCTTCCGCCTTGCATTGTTCGTCGTCAACCGGATATTAATTAAACGCGGAAACGTAAACTATTATTTCTATTAACGCACCGCGTTCTAATTGACGATACAATTATCAATTGAAACAATCTGATTCAATCATGTTATATTAGGTAGGTAGTTAAATAATTGTAATAGCTGACAATGAAAAAACGCTTTATCGTTAATCAATAACTAACAGTTGTGTTTAGTCTCGAAAGAAATGGATTCTCGGGTCACTGATAATATACCATCTACGAATACACATTTACCACAAAGGTGTTGTGTATCAACAACCAACATAAGTCGTATCGACTGTAATAGTATCAATAGTAATGATTTTGTATTTGATGTTAATGATCATACAAATTTAATTCCCAACGACGCTCTCAATATCAAAAAGCACAACTGTCGTTGTTCTCTATCGGATGCAAATGAATCAAAATCAAGTGCATATATTTTTCAACCATGGATAACCTTTATTCATATATTGTGTACCGTAAGAAAAAAATTTTGTCATTTAATTTCAAACAAAATATTTATCTTAGTATTTTAATTTATAAAGTATATAATAATATATGTTAATATACAAATTAAAAACTTACTTCCAATCTTTATTAAAATAGGTATCTAATTCTAAACTTTATATTTTTATTAATCTTTATTTTGATGAAGCTTACTTGGTTATAATTTATATATCCTAAATAACTTTCAAATTATATCATATTATTTAATTATTATTTTAAACATCAATACTATAAGTGCTTTTAATACAATTATAATTTGATGTTATTGCATTCTATTAGTTTTAAGTTGTGTTTATTTGCAAAAAAGTACCTAGTAGAATATATTATATTAATAAAAAAAAACATTTTTACATATTTTGAAAATTATTTACAAATTTAGCAATGTCATATTTTGCTTGCTTAAATATTATATACGTTTTATATTTATTTAAATTAATGTTGACATTTAAACTTATTAAGTTAGAATCATTGTACTAATTTTAACTAAGTTCAAATAATTTAATAGGCGTTGATATGATATATGTAAAATTACACATCTATTTTTCTTATATTCCTTATGATTTTAATAAACATTTTACTTTTACATTGTCCTAAAATAACAAAATAATACATTATATTGATTAGTTATAACCAAATTTTAATTTGTTTATACCTAGTTAAATATTTATGATTTTTATTTTCAAGGCAGCCTTGGCTTTTTTAGCTGTGTATTTGGTATCTAATGTTTTAATATTTGGAGAAGAAATTAATGAAAAAGAAATGGATGATATAACATGGCGTTCTTATCATTTTGAACAACATTATTATACAACATCTCCAATTATGACTACAACAACAGTATTACCTACTCCTAAGGATAAATGTGAACCATTATATGTTTTAGTTTATGCTAATTGTTTTGTTTGGTTTTTATTTTTAGTAAGTTGTTGATTGATCACTTTCTTTATTATTACTAAGTACTATTGTACTGCCTTTAGGTACTCGATCATGTTGCTCGGCATATACATAATAAAATATTGAGATCTCGTGGACACTTACGTGCACATGCTCGACTAAGTCGTCTTGCAGCAATACCGTTTCAATTAGTATCCTTGTGTAAGAAAATTATGCAGTATACAGTAATTATTTTGAGAACTAAAATTATGATAGTTTATGAATTTCTTTTCAGGGACTGTTTTATTGGCCATATTTATTGCTATATATGCACAGCAAGACGAAGCTGATATGCAACCATACTGTGATGCTAATATGTTAATGTCACCAAAAAATGGAATTGCTGTATTACTTATCATTGAGTTTATATGTGTTACAATAACTTCATTAATATATGCTAGTATGTATGAAATATAATTTTTGTAGTAGATTACAGTTTAGTGTTGTTCATTTTATATTTTATTATATTTTGTATTTTTGATTTCAGATTCCATTAGAAAGTTCAATTTTGAAAAACCTCCGCCAGATGTGTGTGGTTGGGATGAAAATAATTATTGTGATAGATGGACACCTCATGTATTACAGAATACTGATGTTACATTAAATCAACAGACAAATTCTGAAGGACTTTCGTTGTAAACATTTTTTTATATAATATGATTTTATTCTAGAAAGCAATTTTTTAATATTTATGTTATTGTTGCAGTTATGAACAGCGTGATGGACGTTGCCTATTAGATTTGCTAGAGTATTATGCACATGCTAATCGTGAGCTGGCTGCTCATTTGGGTAAAACATCTCAAAGATTACATCAACTTGAAGTTGAAAAACAATCTCAACAACCATCACCATCTCAGTCACCGAACTGAATACTATATTTAATTACGAATTATGAAATTATAGAAAATGCAAATTAATTTATTAGATTTTTTCCTATCATTATTCTTTTTAGTCATTTTTGATAAAATAAATGTTTATAAATGTGTTAATTTGTATGATTTTATGTCCTATGTTAAATATAGAAAGAAAAAAATTTAAAACTTAAAATTACATTGTTTTTTTTTTTTTTTATTGGAATGCACCTTCTATAAAAACAACAAATTAAAATTACTTCAATTTGTTGTATAGAAGATTTTCTTTTTGTGGGATTGAAATACTAATTTAATTACTGTAGCAGTTAAATTTGAATCTAAAATTATACCATTACAAGAAATTTAGTAAATAAAACAATGTAAAAATGGTAATAAGAATTATCAAAATATAAAAACAGTAAGTTTTTTTTACTGAATTGTTTCTATCTTGATTCAAGTCTTAAGAGACTTATTTTAGTCTTTAATGCATACAGTGCGTATGTATTTGCTTTTTTTTATATTTATTAAGTGGAATATTTACAGTCTATAATATAAGATTATATGTTGAATATAATAAATAATTTGATAAAAACCGAAAAAACTGAATGGTTTTTCAAAAGTAATTATTAACACTAAGTTTAAATTGAAATACTAGTTTTGAAGTGATAAATATATTAGCCGTAGAGAAAAAATCGTAATTTTTTTGAAGAAGACTTGGTGAGTTATCAATGGGTGTCATGGTAGAAAGTAGATTAGTGTAGGCGTATCAATGTATATAGTTATAAAATGATGAATCTAGATATTCAAGATTTAAAGACCTTGATATAGTGTTTGGTTGCCCAACCACATTAAGGTAAAACGCATTTAACTGTTACACTTTACGTTTTAAAATATATTTTGCTAATTTTTAATAAACAACTATCTGTACTTTTTTACAACCCAGTTTTATAACATTCATATCCCATAGATTATCCCAACACTTCAAAAGTATTTTTAATTGCAAATTAAACACTGATAAGCATATGAAAAATATAATAATGTATATTAAACTTGTTTATAATTTGGTTATAATAAATATAACATATTTAATAATAAAATAAATCAAATATTTATTATTTAAATTTACCATTCAATGATATGGTTAAAATTGAAAAGATAAAAAAATGATTGAATTTAAATGTTTAAAAAAAAACTTTTCAAATTCTGATGTTGTATTAGATTTACATAATAAATAGTACATACATTTGTGTTAAAATATACAAAAACATTTAATTTGCTGATTTTATAAGTCTTACAAAATATTTTGACTGTACATAAAAACAAAAGTAATGATGTACTAGTAATAAAACCTACTTAATGATTAGTATAATAACTATTGATATTCAAAATCAATATGAATTTTAATAACATAATTTATTGATAAATAAAGCAACGAATTAAAACAAGACTACAGCGAATAAATTTAAACATTGTTAAGCTTTGATGTAATGACTATAGTGATAATCAACCAAAAATGTCCAAAAACTATGTTTTATGTATAGCAAATTATCATACTACACATGTTAGGTTTATACAGTATATGTTTTAGATACAACCGGAAGTAATAACACTCACCGCGTATTATAATATTAACTACAAGAATTAAACATTATAGGTGTTCCTAAGTAAATTTCATATTCATGGCCCGTTCATTACGGCGTTATGATTTCGGCGGTTTATAATTTAAAACGAATTATATGAATACCGAACACGGCCCTTGCGCGACAAAATATCACATTATCGGGGCGTCGTATATTTTCTTCGCACGTTTTATCGAACACCATAATGTTCCGTTGACGTTTTATGTTTGTGCGCGTGCGATTGTTATTCGGGCGCGATTCGATCGTTAGCATTTCGAGTTTAAAACCGTTCACTGCAACGAGTTATTTTATTAAAATTATTTTTTTCATTTTTATTTTATTTTTTTTTTCGATAATGCGTGTGTAATTGTTACGCAATATTATAATATTAATATGATAACGCGGTCTGATCGGACGGCAGTGCAGTTCAATATTATATTATCAAAGCGAAACGAAAATATAAAAATAACATATTTTATATAAATAATATGTATATATATATACACGTGTGTGGTGTGTCAAATTTATATATATATATATATATATATAATAATAATAATAATAAATATAATACCTAATACATTATTTGGTATATAATAAATTATATTTATTTATTAGGGATTCAGAAAGACAGACGGCGGGACCGGTGTGTGGACGCAACGGCGTGTTAACCGGCAACCGAGCGCGGCGCCGCATGATCTCCTGGTCCGTCGGGGCCGCCGCAAAGCCGGAGTCAACCCGAGCTCCGGCCGCGACCGCCGAGAACCGAGCGGCCGGACGAGAACGGACTGTACGCCGGTGCTCGGGGCAGCGTTTCCGTTTCAGGTTGTGTTCGAATTTTTGGGGACCGTGGCCGATTGATTAGTCGCGGTCGGCCTTGGTCCCGGGAACGTCGGAAAAAGTCGGACTAACGTACCAGGGGCCCATGCGAACGTGTGCACCGCGGGACGGCGGCGCGTGCAGCACAACCGGCGCGGTCCGGACGACGACGACTCCGCTCCGTGACTCCTAGTACCGATTCACATTTTTTAGGTTTCGCGTACGCGACCGCCGTCGGTTTCCCGCGAATAATACTAATTGATAATGATAATTAATTATTGTACACGCTGATAACGAGTCGAGATGGTCGTTGTGACGTCGTGACGGAATGTACGACGAAATCCGGTTGTCGATGTATTATATAGAATATATATATATATATATATATCTTACTCTTGGACCTCGTTAAAACAACAGCAACTGCAATAAATATACAAACATCCTTGTACAAATAATCCCAAATACTCAATTTGCAATACGACTGAAACATAAACCGTTCGAATAAGAACGAACATGTTATTATTGTGTATTATGCATTGTGTCATGTATTGCTCACTGGTTGCAACGCGACCGGAAAGTGATCAAATCGCATGACATTTATTTAAAATCGATCGAAAACCTCTACACAAACACCTCCAGTTGTATACGAGTTGTTACCGTAATATCATGGTTTTTAACATTTTTCATTTTAACTAACGTTTAAAATTTTAATTATGGCTCGTGAGCAAAAACGATATGTTTTGTTTGTCCAACGAATCGAACCACATTCCTGTTTTTAATAATGGCGCTAAAACTCGATTTCCGTAGAGACTACGAATTATCAACTCCGACGCACGAATTAATTAGTTCGAATCGAGAAAATGTCCTAAAGTAATTGTAATAATAAGGTTTTCACATCGAAACAATGAAAAACGAGGTATACGATAACATTTTATTGAAACCTATCCACCAAGCACAGAGTTTGTAAAAGTCACTGGTAAAAGCGCACTATTATTAAATATGTTATATACCTGGGCAAGCTATCGTTTTAACAATGATATGTATTGTTTCACGTAGCTAATTTGAAACAAAATTTCAAATTGCAAGCGAAATGTAGTTCAATAATTTCACGATTAAAATTCTCCTGCAGTCCTATTGTCTTATTAAGAAACGATTTGTAAACATATTCAAAACATTGTTCGGGATGATAATTAAACATAATATATTCACTTTTCGAACAGTTTTCCTTCACTATTCGTGATATTTAAATAGCAATTAGCATTGACTACAATGCCATCGTATTGGATCTCGAATCGTCTATAACAGCGACTGACGAACGACAACGATTACGGTACATTGACAAAATAGATGTACGTATGTCGACGATAAACAATTTTGATTTCTGCATTACCACGATAACAATCACTATTCATCGACCGACATTCGCATTGTCGCATTGGCTCACGGACATTATTTATATTATTTTGCAGTGTTCTATTACGACGAACGGATTTTTTTAAAGAAATGTTTGGATCCGTATACACAATTGCCTAATAATTGCCATAATAAAATACGATAACAGTATATTTTCATTATAATCTAATAATAATAATAAAATATAATATAATTATAAATAATTTATAATATTAAATATTATTGCTACCAATTTGTATGGAACTTTAATTTCTGTTCCATACAAATTGGTCGCAGTAAAATCTTAAATTTTGTTTGATTAATCAAATCATGTGTGATTTAGTTTGATTGAATGTAAACATTAATATTACCTTCTAATGTTTTGAAGTTCGACATGTTAATTATAATACCAACCATATGTCTAATATTTAAGTGTTAGGTACTAATTAATATTTTATAGTTATTAAATATGTGTAGTAATAAAATCATAGTAATACATTAGTAACCAAATTACACATACGCTTATTTTTCAATTTTCTCTCCTTTATTTTCACAATGTATACCTAAAATACTGTTTACGTTCTAGACAAAGTTACCATTAGCATTTTAATAGCTTAATAGTTGTTCAGCTTTTATTTTCTTCTATTTTTTTTCTTTCTAATAAACATTAACAACTTGATTCATGAATAATTGCACAAAATTCATGAATAACTATAATTATTAGTTACAGTCAAATATTCTTTAAAAATTCTTTAAATTCAAAAAACAAAAAAAGGTCATCCAAATTTTTTAATATATTATATTTTGTATAATTATAATTTTGTAATTTAATAATACACAATTCACATTATAAATAAAAAAAACATCAATTTTCAATAATAATATCTAGTATTTCATCTTAGAATCATTCTTATTGTAATAAAAATCAATGAAATTCTAAATATTATTATTGAAAATTGATGTGTTATTATTTATAATGTGAATTCTGTACTATTAAATTACAAAATTACAATTATACAAAATATAATGTATTAAAAAATTATAATTTATAGTAATGAAAATCATAAGCAAACAATTTTTTTTTATAATTTCGTCAATTAAGATCTATCAATCAACAATCATCAATTATTTTATCATATTTTGATAATTGCAGAAAAGGGGCTAATGTAACAAATTGTATACGCGGAGCCAAAAAATTATTTTCTGCAAGGATCCATTCTTAATCACGATTCATTATCATCGTAATTGTTATCACGGTAAGTGGTCGCAAATGAATCCCGTAGCCTTCATGAATTTTGTACGAGATCAAACGTCAGTCTGACCACGTTATAGCGGCTCGCGTAGTCTTACAGCTGATGAGGTAGAACGTCTGTTATCTATTCGATACCGCGGCTGATAATAATACTGAGCGATATTTGTTTTACAATTGGTGTTTTCTGCGTACCCAGTTGATTTACCTAGCCGGCTTCGTCGATCGTCCGCCAACGTGCTGTTACCGGTGTAGAAAATCCCCAGGCACGCGCAACAGTGATGGCCGGCAGTCGTCTGGAAAAACTCGGGACCATCTTTACGAGGTACGTTTCCGATATTTTATGATGCCACGTCGTGGACTTAAAAAATGTTACTCCATTGGTCCGCGGTCAACGCGACCGGTTCGTAATGTAATTGCATTTGCATATGTGTTCGTAGGGTCAACGGACTGATCAAATCGGGTGCAATGAAAATCGACGACCGACCCATTTGGTACGACGTGTACAGAGCGTTTCCACCAGAATCGGAGCCGTATTTCGCCAAGCCCGCCAAAGCGATAAAAATACCCGATATATTATACCCGGAGGATACGTTCAGAGCGTAAGTGTTGTTAATATTTCGATGGCGACTGCGCGTATTGTTCATCACATTATTGATGTGGTTTTCGTGTTATAGAGAGTTTCAAAAGCGTGTCCGTAATCAATTGCCACCCATCGATTTGAAAGATGTAACCGAACAGAACGCTACCAAAGCGGCCATAGAAATATATTCTGCAGACAAATCGGTTTCAGTTGACCAAGTGATTGATAAACTGAAAAAAAACAGGATCCTACAGGAGTACAACACTTCAACGAAAACATTTGATTCCAATAAGAGTGCAAACAAATCAAATCTGGCCTCCGAATTTTTAAATCAAACGAAAAAAGAACCAATGCCTTCCACTAGTTAGTTATTTTGATAATACATTTGAACAGGTTTATTAATGTAATTGTATTGTAAGGATTTATCTATTTTACATGCTTCTCATTATGTAGTGTTTCACTAAACATTTTTTTTTTTTTTTTTAGTTAATTTAGTATGAATAAACTGGTTTTTTAAAAAATTTCCCTAAGTTTACATTTTTTATGTACTTTAAAACTTAGGAAATTTTTACTACCCACATATTACCCACATATTTATAAAATAATGTTATTGTTTTCCATTAATTTAGTAGCAATAAGTCTGAAAAAGTCTGTAGAACAGTAACACAAATAAACAAATAAACACCACTTTATACAAATAAATTTGCATGAGGACATGTTTTACACACAAAACAAATGAATAAAATTAACGGTTTTCTTAACTAAAATTTGGTTGACAATGATGAGTAAGGAGTTTAATTTTTATTCCTTGGTGAAATTATAAGTTCATAAACAGTTGTTCTAAGTGACCATAATTTAATGTTTCATACATTTTTTTACATAAAACATAATTTATTTATACGGTAGAGGAGTTGATAATGTTTGGTACTTTTATTTTTAAGGTAAAAAGCGTAAACATATACACTAGTAAATAATAAAATAAATCATATGGTTGAGTGAAAGATATTTTGAACTGTTAACATTATTATTATTATTATTATTATTCATTCACATCATTTTCATATTCAATTTCAACGTGAGGTCTGCCTTTAGGTTTAACAACTTTTTTAGCTTTCTTAACAGCAATGTCCTATTAACAAAAAAAAAAAAAAAGTAAGAATGGATAATTTCATTAGAAAATAAATGGAAAAATATTTAATGTTTTTTTCTTACCTCAATATCTTCCATTTCTTCTTCTTCACCTTCAGAATAAACAAAATCGGATACGTTTTCTTCATCTTCCATGTTACTGTCATACAGTTCATCATCTTCTCCAATGTCAGATTCTTCTGCTGCAGTGTACTCCTCAACATCATCATTCTATAAATATTTATTAAAATAATCAATTACAGGATCATCAAAAGATATAAGCTTTCCTTATAACACATTATAACTGTCAAATTTATTATTATTATTATTACTTTATGGCAAATATTACTCCTAACATTTTAACATTTTTAATTGAATTACAAACAATAGAAAAAGGTTCTAAAAATATAAAATAAAATTCTGGATAAATTTAAATTATGACATAAATCCAGAGAATTGTTACCACTACATTAAATATACAAGAAAATTAAATATTTTCAAGCTAGTTTTCCAATCATTATTAAAATTTAGAACAAATGTAAACACAAATTTAAAGTAAAATATCAATAAGATATATTATATACTTACATCTTCATCTTCTTCTCCTTCTTTTTCAAGTGCTCTTTCAAATGCTTGCTGATTTAAGTTATACATATCACCATACTAAAAAAAGTGAAGTCAACAATAGTTATTTTCATTATATTACAATATTTAGATATCAATGGTTATAAATAAAGACCGGATTTAATTGATATTATAACTTTTTATTGATACCAGTTAAATCAAATTTTATCAAATATGTATACGAATCAGATTAATTACAGTATTCCTATTTCATTTAATAATGCAATTTTTTACAATTTACGAATTTGCAATTTTTGTATACTTCAAATGATAAAATATACAAATTATTATTTGTAAAGTAATTTTACAATAAAAATATAACTATGACGTAAATTTTTACATGTAGTTAAATATAGTATAGTATTTTTAAAATTATATTTATCTGAGTTATCCACAAAACTCAACAAGTTTATCAAATAACCAATTATTTAATAGTTTAAACATATTTAATAAAGCTGAAAACATTTCGATAAATAATCCCAACAGTCACAATGGAAAAATAGTTAAAAATAAATTAAAATATATCTTAGAAAAAAATTATGGATATATAACTATTACAACTTACTCTGATGTTATGGCAGAAATCAAAATTTTAATTTAGATATAAAACCAATTTTTTTAAATTATTTTAAATATGCACTAATAACAAATGTAGATATTGAACATATTTTAAGTAACAGATGATACAATTTTTAAGAACATAATTAAAAGATATATATATACATATATATAATTAAAAATTTTAATTTAGAAAAATTATATATTTTGCAAATATTATTTAAGTAAGTAATTAATGACTTTATATTTGATATGAATTTACTATGTAATTTTAGTGCATTTTTCACTGCAATCTTGGCATCTTTTTAGTGCAATTTTAAGATATTTTTAACGCAATTATATCTGCTCTTTAGTTATAAATAAGAATAATTGAATAATTAAGAAAATATTAAGAATATAACTAAAATAAATTAATTCCATATATAAATTACATAGGTACATACCGTTCCTTTTTTGAGCCTTTCAACTAATTCTTTTTCAATAACATTATCTAAACGAGCAGCAATTTCTGCTTTATATTCTCTTCTTTTAACTCGCTTTTCTACTTTTCTTGGCATAGAAACTAATTCTCTCCTATAATTTAAAAAATATAAACATTTTAAAATTTAAAAAGATTTTTAGATCAATTTGGGACATTGATTTTAATCTTACTGAGTTTTAAGTTTAAGTTTCCTCATACGGATTAAATATTGAGTTATTCGCACAAAACGTTGTTTACACATAGATTTTAATGGCCCTGGCCAATATAACATATGTTCATTCATTTGCTGTATAGCTTTTTGAAAATTTCTGGATAGTTTTATCTTTTCCCACTGTCTTTTCGGGTATACAGTTCTACAGGAAAAAACATAATTAATAATTCAATTTAAGGCAGTAAATTATAAAACATTAAAATATTTTAAGACTCATACCTTTCTGCTGTTTTCAAGAACAGATATATAATACCTTTTTCTTCTCTAACTGTAGCATATCGACTGTTAGCTAATGGACAATGTGTACGATTGCACAATCCGGAAAGATTGTATTCATTACGGCAAAAACTGGATGTGTCAGTCCTAAAATAGTTAAAGAATTATGATTTGATCGTTAAATAAAATAAATTATTATGATATAATAATAATTTACTTGATTTTGAATGAACAAAAAGTATCTTTAATAATGGACCAAATAATCTAAAAAAAAAAAAAATCAAATTTGGTATGTAGCCATTGTAAATGTATGGTGAATAGTATAATACTTAATTGAATTACTATATACTATTTACCATAAAAAAAATAATAATTTATTTTTCAATATACAAAACACTATAATATTAGTTTATATAAGGCATAGGTATAACAATTATGTTTGTATATCAATGATAAAATACTATTTTCAAGTACAGAGGATATTGTAAATAATGAAAAGCCGGCTTTAATGACTTTAAATTGAAATTTCTAAGAAGACTCTCACATCATCAATACTAATTTATTTTGATTATTATGTTCACACAGATACATAATGGTTATTTTGGTTATATTAGAAAAATATTTTATTTACAAGTATAATGAAAGTCTATTGAAATGTGAGATAGAGCAGGAAAAAGAACCAACTCTTAATTGAAAATTGCTTGCAATTTTTTTTTTTTAAGTTGAATAGTGCAATATTATGTTTTTAATTTTATTTGCAAATTGTACGTCTGTTTTTTCTACCTAAACATATAATACAATTAGTGATAAAATACAGCTCTTTTTTTCATTTTTCTAATAAATTTAATTTTAAGACTGTTTCAATACAATTAAATAAGTGCTTATACCTACAGCAAAGTTAGTTATTTCGATATTGAAATAAATTATTTTTAGACATTTAATAATTTGACTGGAATTCAATGCTAGAGAAAAAAATAATACCTACATTCTACTATGAATGAGAAAAAATTAGATACTGATAAACCACTAAAATGTAATGAAGTGATTTGAAAATGTAGCATGAGCCAGATAAAAAAAAGTATGGCTGCAAGCTCCCATTGACTATCCCTGGTATATATTATACAATTGGAGTCAAATATATACAAATATAATTTGTTAAATAATTTTAAATTTCAAGTAACTTAAAATAGTATAAAAACACATAACTTGATAAAAAAAAAACCATTATTATTTAGAAATGCCAATATCATATAAATTAACTTGTTGGTAAAAGTAAAATATTTTTTTTAACATTTATATTATTCAATTATGTTAAATTAAAAAATTATGTTATTCAAGAATGTATTTGCGAAAAAAAAAATTATTTTAACCAGCTAAATGTTATTGATACAAGATACAACAGAACGATTTTGGTTTATACAATAAGAATTTCAAGTTCTTCAATAATTTAATACGGATTAAAGATCAGTGTACAATCTATAATGAGAAACACTGACAAGGCTTAAAAGATTTTGAAACTAAAAATGCCAAGTTCAAATAATTGCAACACAGCATTCAATGATTTTAAGAGTAAGAAAATTAAGTAACTAGTGATGAATATTATCGATAACAAGAGACTACTTTAAAAGTATTATAAACGATGAAAAAATGAGTGCGGCGATCGAGGTAATATTCCGAAAATGACTGGGCCATCGTTCAAAAAACACATTATGTAGTTTAATATTCCATATGTATTCAAAATAATCATACGATCGAATACGTTTAGTAACAAAATAACGTTTCTAACGGGAATCCGTGTAAGGCTCCAGCAACAGTATTTGTTAACTATTATTTGTACTCACATCGTCCTGATCCATGTTGAGAAGATTTGATATTGGGTTCGTGCGCAATAAAACAATATTTTAACATTAACAACTATCGTCGAGGAAAAACAACCGAGCACCGCGCGCACATGTATTTTGATCGGCCTAAGTGCTGATTTCGTAGTGATCGCGGCACGAAACGTACACGGCGATATTTCGAGGTTAGTATTCGAATGTCGTTTAATTGCTGTGTCGCCGGACGGCAACGCGACTACGGCACCACGGGACGGGTCCTTATCTCGTCCGCAACCGAAGAGCGTATGATAACAGGACCGTTGTCCACTACAGATGGGCAAAACGGGTCATTTAAATGATCCGGTTCTTTTGAATCGGGTCATTTAAAAGATCCGGTAAAAAAACCCGTTCGGATATTCAGTTCAATTTACTCGTATGTAGAGATGGGAAAAACGGGTCAGAGATCATATCAATGACCCATTCAATACGACCCGTTCGTTCGCGAACGACAATTTAAAACACCGTAGTATTATTAAAATACAACTGATAATAACTGATACGAAAATACGCATACAAATACCCAGTATCCAGAATTCATTCAGTGATACCCGCTGAACCAGCAAAAAAAATTATTATATATTACTATGTCTACTTCAAACGAAGCATAAGACATGTATGCGTGCATAGTATATACAGTGTATTTATAAATATATATATATATATATATATTCTACTAGTAATACACCATTCATAAGTTATAAGTTGACAATAAATACATATTTTACGTGGTAAGTGTAGTTATTGTTGTTATACAACAAATATGATTGCTTTATTTATAAGTTAGGTATGAGTTATGAGAATTACAAAAAGAAAATATCGTTTTAATATAGGAGATATATTTACGTATACAAGGGTATAGATATCAGTAGATTTTTGGTTTTCGGCGTATACCTAAGGTGACCATATATTTTTCTAGTCAAAACGGGACAAAAAAAAAAAATCATTTAGATTAAGAACAAATTTTCTTATTTGACAATTATTAATAAAATAATGTACTATTATGGGTTTAAGAGACAAAAAAATTAAATTTTATTAAAAACAATTTTTTTTATAAAAAAGAAAAATCGTCTATGCAAAGAAAAAAAACGGTCCATGATTACTGTATTACCGAAATAATGAACTATGAAAATAATTTATTGTTAGTGCTGATCTTGCGGTATTACACATTTATATTATAACTAGGGCTCGAAAGTTATAGGAGTTGCATATTGTTCTGTATGCACTCGATTTATAGCAGACAAAGTTAGAAATCCGAGCTATACAATATTGAGTTTAAAAATTGAAAATTAAAAATGCATATTTTGCATATTTCATTAATTTTAGAAAAAAAGTGCATATTTCATCAATTTTCATTGATTTTGGCATATTTGTATGCATATTTAATGTTATCTAAAAAAATTATTTTCATTCTTAACCGATTTATTTTAAATAATGTTACATAACACAACGCTAATAAAGCGGAAAACGTGCATCCTATAAAACTCAATTTTATTTTCCGTGGTTATTTATTGTTATTTTTTAAAGTCTACTACGTATTTAACGAAAATATTTATGCTTCAATGCAATAATTTAACAGGATCCTATAATTTTCGAACCCTAGTTATAACACATCACGTCTATATCGATACATCGTTGGCTGCAATAAGTTTTTTTATATTTTATTAGTGAGTTATATTCCGTTACACAACATAGTCCTGCTTCCGTTCAACGTCATCCATGCAGTAATACAGTATATACACGTTACATGCGCACATAATAGTTAAATATAATATTGGTAGAAACAATAATTCATCGACAGATTAAAATTAATTATCGTTATTTTTATTATTTTCTGAAAACGGGATATTTTAGTGTCCCGAAAATTTTCCTGGGGACAACGGGACGAAGATGCGAAAAACGGGACAGTCCCGTTCAAAATGGGACGTATGTTCACCTTACGTATACCTAATGTAAAATATTATTTTACGGGTATACGGTTCTAAAATAACTCGAAAACAAAAAAACAAATAATTATTTAATACTTCATTGGAAAAAATTGTTATCAACCATGAAATTGATTGAAATATTTAGTTGTTGAAAATTACAGTGTACCCTGTGTTTAATGTATTTTGTTAACTGTAATGAATAACTTTGAATAAAATAGTAGGGAATGTGAACACTCAGCCCATGATTCTTAAATCTGCATTATGCAATTTATAACGCGCTGCAAATGTATATCTTGTGGTGTTACTATGACTATAAAATATATGTTAATAGAAGTTATAAACATGTAATATCAAAGGATTAATTAAATTTTTTCGAACGTATCGAGAGAAAACAATTGTCGAACGATGCAAAAAAATTTATTTTAGAATTAATATCCATATTTTTTAGTGCGTATACCTACAAATATATTTACCAATACACCACTAATTAAAGGTATTATATACTCGTATATAATATAATATTTAAAATATGTAATGCTATTTTACATAGTATTAATTGCTAAATACTACATTTGAAAACGTTTCAAATTTTACACTAATTTAATTAACGCAAAACACTAAATTGTTTATAACGTTTTAATTGTCAATAACGGTAGGTAAACGGACATTTTTTTAAACGTTTAAATTTGTATAACGTTTAAATGATTAAATTGAATAACGTTTAAATTATTCATAGCGTTAAACGCTCAATTGCTTATAACGTATAAATGTCCCATAACGGTAAACAATATACATTATTTTGATTTAAGCCCTGGTCCATACTTAGTGAAATATCAAGTAAAACACAAGCGAAACTTTCAAAACACAGATAGGTGTAAAAAAGAACTACACAAAAATTCATTCTTAGAGGATCCGGCATTTGAATAAAAAAAAAAAAAAAAAAATAAAATAAAAAAAACCACAAATATTAAGGATTCACTTGATTTAAATATTACCAACAATTTTACTTGTAAATTTTGAGCCTGAATCAAAGAAAAAAATTGAGTCCCCCCCCCTAGAAATAAGTCTAAATATGTCCTGCTGACCCGACAGTTTACCGACAGCTAAGCGCTAAACGCTTGATGACGACCGATAATCAGCATATTTATAGTACCGTATGTACTAGGGATGAGCAAAATCGTTTTTGTGGAAGTCAAAAAAAAATTAGATCAATAAATGTTTGAATCATTCTTGTTTACTTTTTGTTTATAAAATCTTAGTATTTTATCAATATTTTTATTTTTTAATGACATTAAATTTTTTAAGTTAAAAGCAGTACCACGAAAACAATATTATTGCGCACCATTACCACCTCCTCCTATTGATATGTCCATTGCAATCTATCTATTTTCGACGCAACGTGTGTTCATTAATTATAATTTTAATAAAATGTAACCGAAGAAAAAACATAATTTTTAAAAATATAAATTGATAATTCTTATTATTTGAAAAAATCCTTAAACGTTTTTTTTTCGTGCATAATTAAGGATTTTTAATGCATATTTGATCAAATGTTAATGCATTATTGCATGCTTATTTGTGCGTTTTTTAGTGCATGAACTTACGAGCCCTGATTATAACTGTACAGTGTATACTGTATAATAATTTTTGTATACTGCATACTAAAATAATACAAAAAAAAAAAAATTCGAACTATTTGAATATAAACATGGATATTTAAACTATTAATCGAAAACAAATCATCGATGTTAAAATATCGATGTATGGACCTATAAAACCGATGTTTTTTGCCCATTCCTAGTATGTACATATTTCCGTAATCAAAATAGTTGATTGTAGATTTTCGCATGCGAATATCAGTTTCGTAATATTTATTATTCAATATTTCAAGTGTATTTAATATTAGACTTGTAGTACTTAACCAATAACTTTTATTCGATGCCGTTTTGTTATTTTTGCGTATGTATGTACAATTATGAATAGGATGCATGTTAATGCTTCGTGAAATAAATAAATTTTTTTTTTTTATTCATGTAAATATTCAGCGATTGAAATACGTGATGCGAGGAATAAAATAACAACTGATTATAATACTTACGAGGAAAAAAATAAACACAGGAAAATGGTTTCCTCGTAAACATGATTATTAATTAAAACGGTACCAACACAGTAAAACACATTTTTTACCAACGTTCCCCGGCGTGCATATTATGTGCATGAATTATGCTTGTTGAGCAATGAATGCTTTGTTCTGCTTTGTTCTGCCGGAAGTCGGATCTATTGATTGACGCCAGTACGGAATAGAAATAAGAATAAACTGCATTAAGTGAACGTCACACATCCGTTATTTGCATAATAATAATAATAATAATAATAATAAACCCAATACACGAAGAATAAATTGTTGTCCGTGTAATACGTGGATTAGTCTTTGTTATAAATATAAGAAGGAACGAAAGCGATTGAAAAAAACCTGAAGTTGTAGCGTTGCTTTCAACGGTGTATTGCATAATTATTAGATTTCTAATTTATTTATTTTTCGACGTTTACTGCTAGAATGATATAAATCCTTGGCAAAAGGACAGCAGCTGTTTTTCTTAATAATTTCTCGATTACTACGTAGCGAGTATTGTGTGGAGCTAACACGCTGGAATATATATTCCAGTCGTCATATTTTAATTTGTATTATAAATTGCTCTCTTTATCTAGAAAGAACTCTTAAAGATCTAAGGTGAACGGGTTAAAAGGAAAGAAAATAGCTATACGTATTACGAAGGAAAAAATTATAACCTACTGAGGTTTTTTCGTGTCGGATTATAAACGACTTGTTGTGATTTAATTTACCGTGCTGCAATCATATAGGATTACTAAAATAGTAATTTTCGAATGTAATAGACACCGAGTTTTTAATTAAAACTATTGAAATATACGATATTTCCAACTTAACTGGTTTAATTTATTGGAAAACAATTAAGAAACATGTGTTTCAATGTACTAGTTATTTAAAATATTATGTTTTACTCGTTTACACAACCCAAAAACTAATTTATTCTGACGACACTATTTGCATGACATATTATGATTATATAAGAATACACGTTAGCCTTATTCAATGCGGCCAAGCGTACCTAACTTTTATTTATTGGAAATTATGATATTAGGATAGCGATATCTGTTTGCATTGAAGGAAAAAAAATCACGGTTAGTATTTATAATTCTCACGTTAACAGTTAAAAATTAATCTCGTTTCGCGCACGTTTCGTAATCGGTGTTACATTTGATATCTATGGATTTATACCTAATGTAGTCTATATATTTGATTTAATTTCAAACTGAAGACTAATTTAATTTACATTAAAATAACTTATCCGGACGAAGCTCGGTTCATTTAACATATGTTTACTATACAGACCGTTTTTAAAGTGTTAATAAACTACTAGAGTTCAAACAGAATAGAAAGTTTTATATAGTTGAAATCCTGTTTTTATCTAGTCGAATATTATAGATTATAGCGATGTTCAATAGCCGTGTACATGTAACCGCTATATACTAATTTTAGCAACAGTATATCGTATCTGTATACCATAAAAACAATGCTTATATGTAACAAATAATCCCGTTAAACCATAGTGCTCACGCGATAAGTGCCGGATGTTGTAAATGAGACCCAACAATTTAAATTTAAGAGTAAGGGGACTGTATTTTGACTGTTGTTTCTCAAATTAAATGTAATTTATCTTAAAACATTTGGTTACAAATTAAATGAGATTTTGTAAAAAAAAAAAACAAAAATAAAATATTCTAAATTTCGTGCAAAAACTCCATATTCTAATATAACAGCTACATTTGTCTATAAAAATACAAATCATAAATAATTGAAGGTATTTGAGAAAAATATACGAAATTCAAGGAAAACATATTTATTAGATGTAAAATGTAAGTTATATTTAATTAACTAATATATAAATAAATAAACTAATAGTTAATACGTAGAAATAAATAAATAAAAGATTAGCCTGGAGTATTATTATATTTGTAAAGTACAAGCAGTTCCGAATTAAAAATTGATCATCAGACACATACAAAGTTAATAAAATTGCGACTGAATATGAAAAAATAAAATCGCAACTCTAGTACAACTCTAAAATATTAACCATTCATTAATTTTTAATTTTAATTACATTTTTTATTACTTCATTATTTATTTAATTATTTATACATTATAATTCATTAAATATAACACATTTTGGTTAGATAGGACCCAAAAGTATTATAGGCACACCTGAAATACAGGTCTGCGTACGCCTATACGTAGAACGTAGACACATAATTTTAAGGCTCCGAGAAAAATAATTGTTGATAAATCGTTAAAAACGTACAAGAAAATTTCACTAATTACATTTCATTTTCAAACATAATGTTATGTTGTTTTTTTTTTTTTTTTTAATTACTCTGACTAAAAATCTCATCCATTGTCAGAAACAGTTGTAGTGATATAAGCGGTGCCGTAGCTAGAGGTTGACGAAATGGGCGGTTACGAAAGGCACAGTAAAGTAAGGGAGTAACTTTGAATTAAACTAAAATTTATTTATTTGTATAAAACAAAAACAAAATTCATCTAGAGCACCACAGATGGTAGCTACGGTACAGAATATATGTATTTATTTAGGAAATATTGTATTAATAATATAATATAAAATTATATTTACATTCAACAGGTTTGTCTTGAAAAGGTTCTTTGTTTTTTCACTGTAGAATGTTCAAATCTTTTTCCATCAATTTTTTACCAATAGCAATTATAAAAATAAATAATAAAATGAAAATCAATATTTTCAATGATGTCATATTCAAACTCAGTAAGTTGTACCTACTTAAGAATAATGATCGGTGTATAGGAATTTCTAATTATTTACTATAATATAATGTTTTATTCAATAAAAATAAGGTTACAATATTATTGTTAAAGCGTAATATTAATCTACTTATAAACATGAACACGCATAATTATGATTTAGTTTCTAAACTTGTTCTAACTTAAGGCACACAAAGTTGAACATTCAAATTTGATGTACCATTGATATGCTCGTACAGGCATAGCATAGAAGCTTTAATTATATTAATCTAATAACATAAGTATATAAAAAAAAATAATAATAATTAACTACCTATATAACGGTTACTATCGAGCACGGATGTTGTAGGAGAGATTTTACATAGTCTTCTTTACAATGTCCGAAACATATTGTCAAGCTCGATAGAAATATGATTCAAAATGTTTAGAATAATTTGTTTTTGTTGGATTTTTTAGACTTTGAGTTTAGAGAGACAATTATTTTTATACGTATAAAATCATCTGTACGTTCTTTATCATTTTTATAGAAGTTATATTTCATAACGTTTTAATAATACATTGCATATTTAAATAAGTTTAGAGTATTTTTAAATAGAGCAAAACTTTTAAAATTTATTTTCTTTCATATATTTATCGCTTGACAAAGATCCGCGCTCTAGAAATTTGTTGATAAATCAAATAAAAAACTATTGAACAATTAATGCGTTCAAAAAAATTAATCAACATTGGAGTATGATATTATAACTTAAATTAATTTTAGGTATTTATGATGTAGTAATGATGAAAAACAATATTGATTACATATTATATAAGCTGCGTTAAAAATAGTTATTAAATTAGGTATACAAAAATATCTAAAATATTCATAATTTAATTAGTAAAATTTGTAAATAATAAAAATGGAATAATTTAGTATGGAGGGGAACACAAAATATTTGTTTCTTACTTGTACATTGCTATTTAATATTGTACACACGTAAATGTTCCGAATTTAAATACGCGTACATTCATACACGTTATGGTCTAACAATTACGAATATGCACCCACATTTTATAAATGTACAATTTAATCATACGCATTGATATTAAATAGGACGTGTGGTCTATAAATATAAATTTAAAATAAAGTTCAAGTGATTGTAATTCTTATAAAACTTAGAAACATTAATCATTATTATAATTCAACACCTAAAATGTTATAATTAAATATTACTAATTTTATAGATATTTATAACCATGTGGGTATTACGTGTATAATACCATGTAATTAATTTTACTTATATATACGAGTATATATTTCATATTATTGTGGTTTTATATTAATAACATATATAGCACCATATTTTTGGTGTCCCGATATTTATCATTGGCATTTTTAAATTTTATGAATTTATATATTGTCTAATAAAACAAAATGAAATGAAAGGTATGCTTGAAAAAAATATCATCAAAGAGCTTCCGAGTATTTCAACGAATACAAATACTTGCATATTGTGCGAAAACAATAAATCGTTTGTGTACAATAATAAACTCAATGCAAAACCTTAATTTTTTTAAATCAAAAAAAATTAAATTGTAACTTAATCTAAGAGAATCTATAGTTTTTAGATTAGGTGTATTATAAAGTAAGGTACATTTTGTATGAGTATTTACAATTGTTTTTAATAACCTATATCTAGATAATATATTATGCTTATGGTGAAAAACTTTTAATGATAATAAAATGTTTGCTTTACTATAATGTACGTATTACAATAATAAAAGTTAACATAACATAACTATGCCTATAACTAATTTGATTTTATTTCGTTAAAAACAATAAACAAAACAATAATTTGTATCTGGTTGATAATAAAAATGGTGGTACGCCTCCTTATTAAGATTAAGTTTAAATGTTCTAAAGTAGAACGAAATTTAGAAAAATATGTAGTCACGAATCGAATAAAAAGTTGATTGTGTCTACATTGATGTTGTGTGCCATTCATCGTCAGGCACTTTTCCACCTTCCACTGGGCCGTTGGACATAAACTCCAAATCGTTTTCTGCCAATTTTGCAACAATACCAGCACCATATGCATCTCCAAGTACATTTACAGTTGTTCGGAATCGGTCACTGAAAAATAAAAAATATGTAAACAACTCAAAATGTTATCAAAACAATTACTCTGATGCAACAATAAATATTACTATAGCTAAATATTAATAACGAATAATCTAAGCAGTGACGAGAAGATTTTTAACATATCATAATCATTTTTTGATAACATTTCGACATAGTACGAATATTATAATAAATCTCAATAAGCTACGGTGTTGTTTAACATAATAAAAATAGATGGGACAAAAAAAAAACAGGTGAATATGAATTTCATATTAAAACAATTTATTATATCATATTCATTAATTACTATAAAATCTGTACGTATGTACAGATGTGTAGCAGATATGTATCTCGTATGTATCGTATTCGTAAAATCACTAATAAGATAGTAGGAACGTTCGTACATAATATTATTAATTTTAGCAGTTTAATACATTTATATTGAATAATATTAAATAACTCATAATTTTAAAGAAATTATTTATACAAAAAAACGTGCTGAATTCTAAAATAAGCTCTCCAAAAACAAATAAATCTCATGGTTTATATAAAACGTTATTTCTTCTATAAATTATAAACATGAAAATCTTCATATAGTATTCATAACAATTATACTTACAGTAACCAATCAACAGCAATGATTAGAGATACGTCATCAGCTGGTAGTCCTAAGGTGTCCAAAACCATGACCATTGTAACTAATCCTGCTTGAGGTATTCCAGCTGCTCCGATTGACGCCATTGTCGCGGTCACACTAATTTAAAAATAAAAATTAATCGAAGTGAAAGTGTACCTAAAATCATTGAGATTTATATAGTTTTTAATTGATGATACCTCATTAAAAACACAGTTGTTGAATCCACATAATTATATTCACATACGACCTATACTGGTATCGTTGATTGTTTAAATTTAAATTAAATGTTTTTGTATAAACACGTTTAATACATTATTTCAAGTAAAATTAAAAGGATTTTATTTTTTCATGAGTTTTAATTATTCACTTAATAAAATGTTTGTATTATTACCAAAATATCAATTAAGATATTTATTTTATTAAACAATAATTGTGTAATAATAATAATAATAATAATAATAATTAATTTCCACAATTATTGTGGAAAATTAAAATTAAAAAATAATTACATTCCTTTGATTGGGATATTTGAAAATCATTAGTCAGAATTTATTTGAATAAAATCGATACAGTGACATACCTTACAGCAGCGATTTGACCGAAACTTAATTGTATGCCCTTTAATTGAGCAATGAAAATTGCTGCCACTGCTTCGTACAAAGCTGTTCCGTCCATATTGATTGTTGCTCCAATAGGCATCACAAACCGTGAAACTCGAACATCAATTTTATTGTTTTCTTCAAGACAGGCCATCGAAATTGGCAAAGATGCAGAACTAAAACCAAGAAATAGATAACCATTTTAGTCTATAGATGTATCATTGTTATAAGTACTTAATTCGAAAATGAGGTTGACATTTAAAGTTTTTATTTTATGTTCGTTAAATTACTACGTGGATCATCTACATTTAAATAGAAAAACTTCATTAATTTTCGTTGACAAGTCTACATAAAAATAATTTAAATAAATGGAAAACTATGTTTGCACTCAAAATGATTGAATTATTTTAAAACGATCGTCTGCGCTTAATATAATTACATTAAAATTTTTTACAAAACAAAATAATAATTCTTTTAAGGATAATTTATAATTTTTCAACATAAGAAGTTAATTTATTGAAAATAATTTTAACTAACTGTCCGATGTTTGTTCATGAGGAATTAGTAGAATCAATGATGCAAACAAAAAAAAATTAATACTGGGCGTTACTAAAAAAATTATGCAATATAAATAATAAGAAGTAAATGTTATTCATCAACGAATAGTTTTAACAATTATTTAATAATTAATAAATAAAATATACAAAATAAACAAATATTGTAAAGTTTTAAATCCGTTAATAGTATGCATACACTTTTTATGTTATGATGATTAGCGTAAAAAAATTATTTAAATTTTAATTGGAAACAACCATAATTTATTATAATGTTAACCTGGAAGCTGTTCCGAATGCAGTTATTATAGCTTGGCCCATATTTAAGGTAAATTTGAACGGAAGTTGACGAGTGAATACACTGTACATAAGTGGTAACAGAACAAATCCATGTACAAATAATCCAAATACTACTGTCAAGAAATACATTCCTAATCTGCCAACAATCGCCCCAAAGTCGTCCAATTCCAATACTTTAGATGCAACTAAAAATAGTACACCCATTGGGGATAACCTGAAATAAAATTAACAGTTTTTTTTTTAAGTATACTTCAATTATATTAACATATTTTTAGATTATTTTTACCATATAACCCAATTAGTCATTAACATTACAGCTTCGCCTAAACTATCGAAAAAGTTAAGTAATGGCTTTCCAACAGGTCCTAATTTTCCAATGCATATTCCAAAAGCAACAGAGAATGCAACTAATCCAAGAACGTTTGAGCCTTCAACCATTTCCGATTTCATTTCCCATAGTGAATAATCAGTAACATTTCCTAAAATAAAAATAACGCGGTTGTTAATCAGGTATACATTTTAATTAATTGTGATACACATTCAAAATGTTGACGATGTTATGCTTAGGTAAATTTTTACTTTTATAAGTAATTAATAAATAAACAACTTACATTTTTACATTATTGTTTACTTAGTCCTTAAATAGTGTACATTTTTAATAACTGGGCCTAATAGATTTTAGGTATACTTCACTATTTATTATGGGGTGCTTCTACTATGAATTTATTTATATACAAAAATGTAATTTTTCAATGTTACTTATTTTTTTTTCATATTTAATGAATTAAAAATGCACACATGTATGATGTATATCATAATGTAATGGGTAGTCATTAATTATACTTTTCTGGACTTAGGTATAATGTATATAATATTTAAATTGTGTAGGCATAATTTTATGCACCTCAATGGAAAAATATTTTCGTGTGATATTATATTTTTATTATAAGTTAATCAAGATAAATATTATATTATATAAATAATATAATGAACTGAAAATATTTAATTGTCGTTTTATATAATATAGGTATACTTTAATTTTATTTAAATGTAAATACATTTTTTTTTATCCCAAGTTTTTAGAAATATATTGTTTCAGTTTCATTTTTATCCACAAAACGTTTTATTTATATATATTTCAATATATCTTAATTTTTTGTTTATTATATAATGAGAAATATAAAAGGGTAATGCTCATCAATAAGAAATATTTACAGCTTATCAGGATCAATCATTTTTATAATATCTATAGGTTGTCATTCGAAATGATCATTTTGACCAAGGAAACAAAAAAATAACACAGTTGACAATGAATCATAGTTTTAATATTAAGGACAAAAAATAAGAAAAATCATTTTGAACAATTCTGTAGGTAAACATGATTTATTGTGTTTTTGGGAAAAAAAGTTAACATGAAAAATATCCAGTATTTAAGAATAAAACTTTTAAAAGTATGGATATATTAATAGTTTTGGGTGATTATAATTTTTTCATTATTGATTCCTAATATATTTCTAAAACTGCAGGTATTTGTTATTTTTATGTAATTTAGTGTAGTCTATATACAGTGTTGGGGAAGTTACTTATTTTGGGTAGTTAAATTACATTACTAATTACTCAGTAAAATTGTAACTAAATTATTTGAAGTTACTTTTTTTTTCATTTTGTCAAGTTACATTATTTATGAGTTTTAAAAGTAATTCAATTACAATATAAGTTACTTTTTTTTCTAAATATCACTGAAGCTTAATATTTTTGTCTATTTTGTCTATATGACAATATACAAACTAAATAATGACAATTAAAAATATGAAATTATTAACAATTAATACTAATTTTGCTACACATTAAATATTTATCTATATTTTTCAAATTTATTGTAAACTACAATGCGTTTTCAAAATTACAGTCACTAATTTTAGATCGCTTTTTAGTGTATATATCTCCTGCTATGATAAACAAACGTTCAACAGAAGCACTTGAGGGTAAAGCAGTATTATACTTCAAAAAAATTAATCTCATTATTGGCATGTTTTTTAAAATAGTTAAATCACCATTAAAAGGAGCAAATAAAAAAACGTTCAAGTTCAGCATTAGAATGCCCTTGTTTTATATCTTCATCAAAAATAATGTTATCATTGACTTCCTTAACTTGATTTTGCTCTAAAGTATTATCATTAACAGGTTTGAAATATTCTATTTCACTTTGAAGGATATCAGTGGTTTCTTATTTTTCCATTAATGACATACCTTTAAACTTTTATTGTTCTTAACATATATTAAACCAAAAAAAAAGTAACGAGTAATTTACTAATAATTATTTCAAAAAAATAACTTAAATTACATTTAAATTACTTACAATAAAATGTAATTAAATTACCATCAAATTAATTAAAAAGTAATTTCGTTATAGTAACTAATAACTTAAGTTAAGTTACTCCCCAACACTGCCTATATAATAGCAAAAACTCTTAAAAATAAAAGAAAAAATATACTCTGGTCTCTCAAGTTAATGTAATATATAATTGAAAAATGTACATATATTAAAATGTTCACTTATTCACAAGAACACTCACTGAGAATAACTAAGAGTTGTATAAAATGTTTTCTACTATGATATTTTAAAAATGTCCACTTAAATTATTTTATTCAGATACGTTCTTAATTGGGACTGCGTTACGTTAAATACTAGGATATTAATTTATTTATCTATAGTAACTACATACAACTAAAACCTCAATTAATTTTTTTGATTAAGTAAGATGTGGAATTTTTCATGGATTAAATGATAATATTTTGCATTCTTTGCGTTAAGAAACATTTGATTTTTTTTCTTATATTTATTTAATACAATTTTTATATTCAACAATGAAAACAAAATTTGGCAAATATCAAAGAAAATTGTATATGTTCAATGTACAATGTTCATAATATGTCAAAATTATAGAGATACGTTTAAACTATAATATAATTGCTTACCTGCTGTGGCTTTAAATGAAGCAGGTTTGATAAGTACTGTTCGGTACTAAAAAGTAAATAATACAATAATAGTTAAGGACCTAAATAATCGTATTTTTAATAAAAACAATAAAAATGTACTTACTGTCGATATACATGCTTCAATAAGATTGGCCGGAAATATATTTCTGAAATAAATATTATTTATAAATGTTTTTTATTATAATAAAATATAAAATAATTAAAATATATAATTAAGTAAAAAAGAAGTTAATTAATTAGTTTTTTTAAGTAGTTAATTTTAATGCCAAATTTAATGATTTAAATAATTTTTTTAATAAGTCATTTCAGACCATTTATTTTGTTGTTATACTAAAAGTTAACTTTTAAAATATTTTATATTCAATCTTTAGTGCTAAGTGAAAAAGAAGTTAGCACAAAAGATTGAATATTAAATATTTTTTTATTTCATTAACTTTTAGTATAACAACAAAATAAATGGTCTGAAATGGCTTATTAAAAAAATTATTTAAATCATTAAATTTGGCATTAAAATTAACTACAACTATTTTTTTTAAGTTTAAAATAAATAGTATTTTTTAAATACGACAATATTATATGTAACATATTTATTTTGAATTTGTAGAAAAAACAACAAAAATTGAGCATGTATTAATACTGAATAAAATCCTTCTTAACTTTGATTGAAATTTAAATGTTAAATAGTAACTTAAAAGCACTAATACACTGTGTACATGTATTTTAACGTATTTGCACGGTTCAATTTTTTATATATTTATATATACCTATATAAAACAAAAAAAAAAATCATATTCATTGTTATATAGATACAACATAGTATTACATAATATATTTTCAACAAAATTAATCTAGTCTAGTTTAAACTGATTTACGTGATATTTTTTAATTATTTCTACCATTTATTCTGTTTAAAATGTTATTATCAATGTCTGATTAAAAAATTTAAAAAAATAGTATAATATACTAATTAGTGTTAAGTTCATACACATATAACACAATAAATAAAACTCTGCTTGGAGTCGTAATGTTCGAATATCTTAGTTTTTTTTATTGTAAAATACATTAACTTGTATCAGATTGAACTATAAAATAAATAACAATTTAATTCGAGTCGATTGATAAAAATAATTAACTTTAAAATCACGCGAAAATTATAACTTTTACTTTAAGTTTTATATTGACCAACCTTATTAAGTCTAATATAGTGTCAGTGGTAGTTATTGGTCTAGTTTCTTGGTGCTCATGCATTTTTGGATCTTCTTTGTCCATCATTTTTCCTGGATGAATTAACATCACCCAAAATATGCCCTGCAAAACTGCCATTGATGTAGTTGCTGCATAATAAGCAATTGATTGGAATCCAATTTTTTTGGACAAAGACAAATCCAGCGATCCGATGGCAGATACAATTGATGATACTAATAATGGGACAATCAACATTTTCAACATACGGAGGAAAATATCGCCAGGGAATTGTACATATGTAATTTCGCGTTTTGTCCATCTATAAATATATTAAAATTAATTAAATAAAATCAAACTTGTTCAGCGATTTAAAAATCAATTTTTTTTTTTTTTTTTTTTTGTAGCAATTTTATTACTGTACAGCCAAATGAAATTCGTGGGAATCATACGTGATACACATATTAATACTTAATAATTTAGTATTTATAATTTAATGTCCAGAAGACAACTAGATTGAAACGTAAGCGTTCACCTTAAGATAAAAACACGTTATACAGAATGTTGGTGTATAGATCATTAAGACGTCAGCATGAGAAAAACCGTTATGTTAGATATATTAAATTTGTAAAACTAGATTTATTCCATATTTTTCGAAATTAATAGTTTACTCGACATATATATATATATATATATTTTTTTTTATGACGAAAACTTTTTTAGTCATACAAAATAGCCATGATATAGTATGGTTTATATTTGTTTTTGCTGTATTTAGTAAAATATAGTAATCGATTTTAGTCCTGCGAAGAAAACAATGAATTTAAATCAGGAAAATAACGTCTCATTTAAAAAAATAGAAATTTAAAGACGTTCGTGGCATGTGTACAAAATTATTTTAATAATAAATAATCAAAAAGTATAGTTTAATATTTTTGTTCGATCGTATGTGTGTTGAAGTAAACATTTAGGCACTAAAAATTACTATTAAAACACATACTATAAAATTATTTATTATTGTCAAATCGTTCTTACTTGTGGTACCTGTTGCTACAGCATAATTTACATACTCGTTAGAATATAATACTGTTTGTAACCTAATTAGTTATTTATTACTTAAGTTCATACATTTGTGAAACAATTTTTAAAATTAGTAAATGTAAATCTCAACTTACTCGTCTTTAGCTCCTTTCAGGATAAATCCTAAAATTACACCACCAAATACTGAAGCTATTGTCAATATAGTAAGCAAATTATGAGAAAAACATGATTCTGCTTTTTTCTCTTTGCTTTGTCTTCTGGCAGCGGTATTCATTGTTTTATGTCCTTGATCTGGATGTGAAGACTTGAGAGGCGATCTATTGAAAATATTGAAAATATTCACAATAAATTAAAATGAAACATAATAATTTTATTATAGAATCTTTATATTTATGATACTAATTATATCATACACTGCGCTTTATACATATAAATTAAATGCAATCCAAACAAGTATATCTTATCGTGACCCTAATAACCTAGAAGATGAGAAACCGGTTAAGATTCAATGTACCAATATACCAATATACGTTTAGGTTAGTATACTACGATATACTACTTAACACAAAGACTATAAAAATGAGAAAATATTGTTCATATCATCTGTTAAAAAAAAGTGACTATACGTACAGTCTTGTGTAATTAAGTGTTTAATAATATTTAAAAAATATTATCCAAACATTAATGAATAACATGAATAGTAAGTATTAATAATATATTTTGAATAGTGCAACATACGATTGGGACTCTGATTATTTAAAAAATGCATTAGATGGATACTAATAAAAAATAAATGCTTGCACACAAAACGGTCAATTTAAAATAAATTAATTTATTAAACCATTTATTAACATTTTCCTAAATTATTTTCATTTATAAACAGTCACATTTTAAACACATATTCAAATCATTAAAAATAAAGAATAGAATAAATAAATTAGTGCAAATTCTAGTTCTAAATATTTTAATCTAGTTAACAAAACATAAGTATACAAATATGAATAAAAAACAATGATAAAGTTAAACATATTTGTACTACAATTTTTAAAGGCCATCTCATGTTTAATGATAAGCTGTAATTGTATGCATGGATTTGTGTTTTATTATAAATAGTTATTAAATTAAATGTCATAAAATTAAAAATATACCTAATACATTTTTATCGTTAATAAATATTTATTTTATAATATTTACAAGATTCATTCTCAACGTTTTGATATTTTCTAAATTATTCATTATAATTTAATTAACTTAATAGGCATTATATATAATTAAATTATCTAAGTAAAAAAAGCGAAAAATTATTTAGAAATAGGTTATATAAAAAATTAAAATAATTCAATATCTTAATGTATATAGAATATTTGCATCATCCGTTTCTAGGGGATATGAGAAACAGCTTACTAATATAGTGAATGGTAATCTTAGTAAGATATGTTTAAAAAAAAATTATCTGTAAAAATATTTCTGTACTTCTAAAAATAATTAATATAATATTTAAGAAATACATAGTAAACATTAAAATCATTTCTTGGATACAAATTAATTAAAAAAAATAAATAAATAAATAAAATTAAAAATTAAAAATTAATCATTTAATTTCCTAAAAAATAAAAACTTAATTAAAGAACTTGATAAATAACATATGTTTATACATTTATCTTAAAAAATCCAAAATTCAACTAATATGTTGTTTAACTGTAATAAAACTTATTAATTTGTATATGGTATAAACGTACAATATATTATATATAAAAATAATTTGAATCATTAATTAATTGAGTTTATTTATTTAATCAAGTGAAGTCGGTATCGAGGTCAGATAAAATGTTTAACATGTATAAATTAATACAAATATTATGTAGTAAATTATTAGAAACGATAGCGCAAATAATACAAAGTACGAAAGATTATTTCTTTTCCCATTGATGGTACACTTGATAATAGATAAATCTGCAACCATAGTTCAACATAGGTACATTCAATTTTAGCTAAAACGTTGGTTCTATTAAGCTCAACACTTATAGGTCATACATCTAAATAATTCCGGATGGAGAGTATGAATCAGTTTGTCAGAGCATCGTTATAAAAATTGAGGATGTAATAAAAAATAATTCTTTGTTGAAAATTGTCCATTATACAGCTACCACACAATCGAATATAATTCTTGTGCATTATTTATATTATGTACAAAGTGTTCAACACAGAACAATCTAAAATCATGATATTTTATATAAATTATAATAGTATAAATAATATTTCGAAAAATAAAAATAATTATTTAAGTTCATATTTTTTATAAAACATGCTTACGTACACGTATTGATGATAAATGTAATAAAAAGTTAATTTTTCCAACGAAATATTAAACTAAAAACAAGAAACAAAAAATACTTAGAATAGTATTTTGAAAATTATAATTGAAATTTTTATTTATTTATTTTTTTATTTTTATTGAATATTTATTATTCTATACTATAAAAAATGATTTATATATATATATATGTACATAATTTTTTCTATGATACGAAAATGATTGGATTAAATATATTGTATGAATATTTTGTGTATAATTACAATAATACGAAGAGCTAAGATGAAAAATACAAAAATAAATACAAAAGTAGTCACTTGATTGACATTAAAACATAAGTAGGTAATATCGATCACATTAATATAAATTAATTTCAAATTAGATTTGAGAATAGTTGTAAGTGTTAAATTATTGGAGCTGGTAAATAAGTTTCCAAATCTGTTATAAAATACCATACACATGTATACTGTAAATTACTTTAAATATTGGATTATAAATTCGTCCTAACTAATAATAAATTGTTAGACTTTAACCTATTTTGATCGCTGCTAAACTTGCGTTTAAAATATAATAAATTTAAATTATTTCAATGGGTATTCGAGAATTAAAGTATTGATTTTTATATATTTTGGTTCATAAGTCTTAAATTGAAATGCATTATTATTAAAATATCATAACTTATGTAATAGTACGTAATATAATGCATTTATAAGAATTATAAACGTTTCTTATTGTTATTTTAAAGTCAATAACAATTCAATTTTAATTTAGAATATTCAGAAAAAAAAATGCATTTATACTGTTATTCATTACCGTAAGGAACATTCTACTTTATTTCTGTGATACACGAAATTAATAAGTATTTATTAAAATTTAAAAATGTTCCTATTTTTTTATTAAATTATTAATTACAATATTACAAATATAGTTATCTAAAATATCTAAATAAAGATAAAAAAATAAATAAATATTTCAATGCATAATTTGAGAAAATATAAAAGTTAAATATAACAAAATTGGACATCTCTGAGTACGTATAATAAAATATAAGATCCTTTAAAAAATATTCACATTGAATATTTGACTCATAAAGATTTTAAACGAAAAAAAGACAATTTTGTTAGAATGACCAAAATAACTCGTAAAATAAAGTTACAATTTTATGAAAAGAAATTAAAATTACTTTATTTTTTAATATTTCTATTCCAGGGAAGTAGTATTCTGTTTATTAAATTTACGTGACTTGTGTTAAATAAATTTTTATTATATTCAATTATACAAACACATACAGGTATATATATAAATATGATTACTCAACCGAATGTTTACATTTTTAGTGTACTAAAGTTTTGTTAGTAATAGTTTAGTTTGAGCCACCCTGTGTAATTGAGTAAATGGTAAGTGTTAAATATTTATCTGTGTATACATTAGCTGTATGGTATATATAATTATGATGAAAATTAATGTTAATATAAACATTGTATTTTAATTGTAATAATATTTTTTTAACAAATATAAGAAGTTGAATATGATTAATTATTGTATGGTTTTAAAATGCATACTACTAACATGTGATGACAATGATGTCACAATAAAATAAATTATTATACAATTGTGGACTACTATCACTAATAGCTCACCACGAAAATGACATAATACCTTCCCGGTTTTTTTTTTTTTTTTTTTAAAAAAACAGCAAGTAGTAATAATTACCATAATTATTTATGAATATATAAATAAACGAAGATGCTTTACAGTGTAATGTTTTACACTTAAACAACGTTTCGAATTGTACTTCTCAATGGTATATGGTCGTTGGAAGTTAATTTGATTATCACAAATATAATATTTATATGCACTACATAAATAGAATAAATAGATACAAGAAACTCATAACTGTTATTCCTGTACATTTAAAATAAAGTTGTTGTATGTTGTTTTTAATAAAAAATTTAATTTTATTATTTTATTTTGAAATTGTGTAGATTAAAGTAGTATCTACAATAATATATTAATAACAACTTATTTTTTATATTTTTATAGAGGAGCGGTAGGCATAAACAATGAAACGTGTATAATAATATATCTATCACTATGACCGATTTAAATAAGTAAAGTTGATTTAAGAATACTAAATATTTTTACGTAATAAATGTGGGTTGTTAAAATTAAAAATTGTAATCATTTAAGAGAAACTAAAAGTTGATTTACGACAACAATTTTAAAATAAAATAAAATTAAATTAAATTAAATAATATATTAAACGTATAATACACATATTTTAAGTAATTTGATAGATTTAAATACTTAAAAAGAATAATGAAATGAGGAGGTACTGAAATACATTTTGTACATTATAAATGAATTTTTCATGTTACTCGATGGTGTTGCCAAACTTTTTATTATTTTAATGATAATATTTTATAACAAGAATAAAGTAGATAGTTAATGTTGACGTTTGCAATTATTCTAACAATAAATTTATCTTGTCTTATTTTAATACGAGTACAGGAAATATTGAATTTTATTAATATAAACATTACACATCATATATGTAATTATTTAACTTTTTAGAGATTAATGAATATCGATACATGAATAATGTTATTACATCATTTTAAAATTCGCTGATTAATGTTATAAATAACAGTAATCATAAACCTCATCTAAATTCAACCATACGCATCAATAGAATAGGAACATTTTTTTTTTATTTCATAACCATGTGTACAGGTGAAATACGTAGGGTCACGCGGATATGTTTTGCTATATGATAACATTATTTATTTCGTTTATTTAAACGACATAAGAAGTTATCAATTTACAGCTTATTAGAACTTATCAAATTTTTTTTCTTTACATTTACGAGCTTTTTTTATTATTATTATTATAGTTCACGTATATAATATCTGCGTCAAACTTTTTATGTTCAAATGATTTAAAAAATCAATTGTTTCCACGTAAAAGATAAAAAAAAATAAAAATATATCACGATTATTGTAA